ACAAAACATGACAAAAGGTGGGGTTTCCATTGTCAAATTTTGTCGATTCCCACAGAAATCACTAGCAACAGCTGTGGGAATTAGGTTTCTTGTGGATCGTGAGACTCACGAGTTACTTACTAAAGGGAGGATTGGCGGTAATTAAGAGTGAGCGTCAAGTGAATTTCAAATTTAAGGACAAAATAGCTGAATTTAAAAACTTATCCAAGTTATACTTCCAGTTCTGCTATTTGAATCTACAGTTTAAACCTTACTTGAGTGGATAAATCTGTTGGTGTATGGTGGAGGTCGTGGTCTTGCTGGATCCTCCATAGACACATTAGGGTTATACTCTTGCCCCTAGGTGACAGCTTCCAATGCACAACCATGCTACCACTCCTTTAGTGGGATTGTCACCTCCAGGGGCATTTGTAAAAGCTTACAGAGCAACTTTAAGAAGAGGCATTTCAAATTTCCTTATTGATTTCTGGAAAAAAAATGAACCACAATTATAATTAAATATAACCATACACCATTACTGAAAATAAAATGTTATATGAACTATAGTGTCTTTGTATTATGTTTTTAGTAAATATTTATGAATTAATAATTCTTTTTAGTGCATCTCCTGAATTAAACTTGCTCAATGGGGCATCCATATGTAGCCCCTTTGTGTCAGCGGCACCACTTACGTGCTAAAAACATGCACGATTTGATATTCTGAAACGCACCCTGAGCGAATTTTTGGGATGCCCAGCAATTGAGCATGATGTTGGGATTAATGAATGCACACTAAATCATTGATTACCTGCATGTTTGTCAGATAAGCTGTAATTCTGATCAAAGAGTAAACTGGAAGGCCTCGGAGCAAAGGTAAGCCATGATATTGCAGGATATTATTTTAGAGCAGAGATGGGCAACCTTTGGAACTTCAGACGTTGTGGACCACATCTCCACTGATGTTTTGGCAGCATTATGGCTGTAAGAGCATTATGAGAGGACTTGTACACATCAGGAATGCCAAAAGTTGCCAAACCCTGTTTTAGAGAGATGAAATAGATACCCTTGTCATTTCTCTGCTTTTCTTAAATGCCAGTGTTTCGATGATCCCCCTCACATTGTGCAATGTAGGAATATTTTAGAGTTATGCTCTAGACTTCAAAGTGGTTGACAGTCAAATACAATGAGCAAATGCTTCCGTAACCAATAATCAATAAAAGAAAAAAAAATGCAGAGCACTCAATCATTTGTAAAAGTAAACTCTGCTTTATTTAAATAGGCAGCACGCATGCAAAACGGCAAACTGCGAAGCATTAATGTGTATTGACATTTCAGTCCTACCTCTAAATGTTCATGTAGCTATATTATGTGGAGGAAGGGTTGAGTTCCCCTAGTAAATTGGGTGCCTATCTGGACATTCTTTTGCCTGTGCTTTTGCAAAAATACATTTTACTTCTCTGGTTTTGTTAGACACACTGCAGGTGCCCTTATGTTAATTACATGCATTTTAATGGATTTTCACCTATTTTAGGGTTATTAAAATCTTTAAAAAGGGCTTCCTTAGAGTGCTACAGCCAGAGAGCTTCATTTTGGCTGCAGCAGAAGAATAGTTAAGTTAGGGAGATTTTGCTGATGTTGTGAAGGCTTATGGGATGTCTGAGCTGCATAGGCTGAAGCAGAATCTTTTCTATATTAACAGGGGTTAGAATGTCCCATTCAATAACCATTAGTACTTTTTAATCTCCCACTTTTTTTTTTTTTTTTTTTTAAAGGAGGGAAAAAATAAATATATTATATTTACACACACGCAGAAGCTGTTAAGCCTCATTAAAGGGACATTCCACTGTCCAAATAATCATTTAGTAGCTTTACCCCCAATGAAAATATTCAAATATGCATTTTGCATTGGGGGTATATCAAAAAACAGCTTGCAAAACTTATCTGCAGCCTTTACAAACCATCTCCTTCTAATCCAGCTGAAACGTTCTGTGGCTGTCCAATCACAGACTTCCCTGTGCAACTCAATGAGAATGGTTTGCAAGGTGGGTGCTCTGGGCAATTGCTGCCTCTTTAGTTTCGCTCCACTGAACTAAACAACCAGGAATTAACAAAATTAGTTGTCTGATGAAAAGCCAGGGAGTATAACCAGATTACTTTATAAAAAGTGCAAATTTTCATTAAAAACGATTTGTAAATTCGATAGGGAAAAAAAAAACAAACAAACGACTTCACACGTAAAGCACTTTGGCAAGTTCTTGTTTGTAGTGTCCCTTTAAGGACTCGAACAGGTGTCATTTAATAGGGCATGTACATTTGTATCTGACAAAATGTGGAGTTAAAGGTATACTATAGTCACCAAAACAATTTTTGCTTAATGAAGCAGTTTTGGTGTATAGATCACACTCTTTTCAAAACTCCAAGAAAGCATTATTTTTCCCAGTACCTAATCCAGTGTACTGTGTTGTTACATTTCCTTTTTTTGCCAAGGATAGCTCTAGCATTTGATACTTCAGGACATGAGGAAATTCGTAAAAGCTACTATTTGATCCAGATGTGGGTAGGTCACCTTCAGCACACCAGATGCTGTGGACTACATCTCACTCAACATCCATAGTGCTGGCAAAGCTTTATGGGAAATTTAGTCAACAACATCTGGAATGCTGAAGTTTGCTTACTGCAGCATCAGGAGAAAGGCGAATTAAACTGGCAGCAGCTGCATATAGATTAGGGATCCTGTACTGCATTGGGACAATTAATCCACATGTTACAGGGAATAATGAATCAATGGTATCACCTGCCATGGAAGAAGAGCTTGAAAACAGGAGAGCACAAGAGGAGACATTTTTCATATAAAGTACCTCTACAATATAACAGGTAGGACGTTTTATCCACTTCTAGTACCTGAAGCATTACCCTTATTGCAGTAGTAATAAGAACATAAAAAAGACATTTGGCAGAGTGTGTAAAAATGTTTCAAAAACTTAGATATAGAATACAGGGTGCAGTACCCAGAGACTCCTGGCAAAGTAACATCACTAAGCTGAAGGGTTTGCTTATCGTGCTTTTGTTATTCTATGATAAATAGCCATTTCAAACATAGAACTATGAAAAAAATAAAAATAAAGGTCATTGGAAACTTGCCATGCTTCCAGATAATGTTATTTTCAAAGAAGATGTTCACAATGAAACCAGGAACACAAAACAAAGTATGATGATTTTATAAATAATTTAATGCCTATGCATCCACTTTACATTCCATTGTCATTATAGGTAGCTCATAGAGGAGAAATAAAAATCAAAACACAGATATGAACCTATTAAGATACAAATGTACACCGTGATATGTAATCAATATGTAAAGGAGGCCTCAAACATAACAATTGTCAGAACTGCTAACACCGAAAGATTTTAAACACTTAAGGCATATGACAAATACAAGAGGTGGTCTTCCATTGGTAAAGAGAAGGGTTTAGTCACTCTTCACACATCAGTGATTCATTCGATATCACAAAACTATAACATGTGTCCATCAGATTTTCTCCAGATATTTGTGGGTATTCCAAAAGTAGGGAAGGAAAAGACAATTATACTTAACCTGTGTAGATTAGCATGCGTTGAAGGCACAGAAAGTATACTGATTTTACAGCACATCTATTTTTATCAATATTGGTTTAGACCAGTGTAAAATATCTAATTTGAATACAATACATGGCCATGTGAATTACATTAGCCTCACAGACAAGGATAGAAGTTTTAGGACACCATGAATTTACTATTAAGAAAAACGATTCACACAAGAAATAGTTTTGTGGCTGTACTGAATAAACAAAATGGTTTGTAAAAAGCTGACAAGTTCACTTTAAGACCGATTTTGGTTTTATTTTTAATGTTGTGAATAGCTAACACTAATAATTCTGACAGTTGCTGGCCTTCAAATCCTCAATTACGATTCCTTTTTCTTGATGATCAAAGGGCCCACATTATCACCAGTTTCCTCATTGTGCTTTGTGTGTGCACCGTCACAAAATGGAAACTGTAGAGGGAAAGAAAAAAAAAAAAATTAAAAATAAATGTATGAATAATCAATTTTTGTTTTTGCAGTTACAAGAAACAGAACATAAACACAAACATTTTAGCCTCATCTATCTTTCCATCTGCTTTCAAATTTAAATGCTCTAAAACCATTAAAGTGCCCACAATTAGTTTAAGTTAAAGTCACACAAACACATTCAAGCAACTTCTGCTGACCACTACAAACCATTTCCCATCAGCTGGTTGGTCTCTTTCATACGGAGTAAATTTCAAGTGTACCCAAGCAGGGAAAATCAAACTGGAGAGCAGGTGGAGCGCATGCAGATCAGTGGTGGGTGTTACAATAATTCAACATCCATGGAACTGAAGATATGACAGCTCTAACCTTTCATGAGAGGATTACTTTAACTCATCTGTTAAATTGGCTTTAAAATTCTTATGTTAAAGGACTACTACAAATCTATAAAGTGTTTCAGCTTGCTGAAGTGCTTTAAGGGTGAGGAGTATCCTGTTATGACAGTTTAGAAAAAGTATTTATTTTATGAGATATCAGCAGGGCTCGAGTCCTTCAGGAACGCGTGGGAACGGCGTTCACACACTTTTTCCACAGTAGGAACGCTGTTCCAGTTAGTGGTCCTGCAGGACTTGTTTGCCAGCAAGGATAACAAGGCATTTGTGATGCTGGGAGTCGGAATATGACTTCCTGCCCGCACAGCCCGGCCAGCAGCCCCACTGGATCCCAAGTAAAAAAAATCCATCCAGCTCTCCCAAATGTAGGGAAGCTGGGTGGATTTAAAAAAATAAATAATAAAAGAAATAATCACAATAGTCAAAGATATTCAAATGGAGTTTAAAAAGATGCAAAGTATATGGAATATCAAATTATGATTTCCTACATTAAGTAAAAAAAAATCCACATTTTAAAACGACAGCCATTGTTTAGTGCACTACAAGTTTTCACCTTTTTCGATCTCCAGCAACGACAGTAGACAGCTTTGTCACCCAAATCTTCCATATCAAAAGCATGGACCACCTTTGGATTGTCTTTCTGGATGTCAATGTTTACCATAGACTTGCAGGATTTATCTTTGCAGAAAATAGCTTTGTACACCAAATATCCTGCAGCAGCAACACCAACTGTCAATGTGGCAGTGGCAACCCACTCTGTAAAAGAAATTGAAGAGTTAAAGGATGTAATGGATTTTCATAGATTAAGCACACACAGAGAAAAATCAGATTTGTCAAAGTTAGTATTTGACCACTTTACAGGCTAGTGCCTGTAGTAGAATGCTCTGGGAATACAAAAGGATGAAATAAACTTTCAAAACGACAAGAACCAAAAATGGCTTGGCACTTTTAAAAGGTAGAAGAGCATACCATTGCAGTTTAACAAAATATATAATAAAAAAAAACAAAAAAAAACAAAAAAAAAAAACACACCACACATTTATGTAAAGCGGCATTGTCATGCCGAACTTGCCTTTCCCCAATCACTTCTTCTTCTCTCCCTCTCTCATTATCTGTTCATTTCTTCCTGTCTGCTCTAATTTTCCTTAAAACACGAAAAAGTAGGGACTATTTTGTCTTATGTATTTTTCCTACGCTTGCCCCGCTTTGACCTAGGGAAGGAGCAAAGTCCGCTCCATTTCCTGTGGGTCAAAGCAATTTTCCCCACAATCCTCACCTTCCTCCTGCTGCTTCATTCGGCGTTCAAACACCGGCAAAACTACTGAATTTCATCATTACAGAATGAGAACAGTTTGTCCATTCGTGTTAGGATGCAACTCGGGAGTTTTTGTTCGGATAGGAATTTCATTAGAATGAATTAAACTCGGATCCTATTCGTGCCGCGAGTAGATAGCTCCCTAATACCGTGGGAATTGGGGAGCTATCTACTAAAAGGCTGATAGACCTAAATTAGTTTATTATTTACCAATAATAAGTAAAGATTACTTAGTATTAGTAATTAATCTGCCCCTACTCACTATACCGCGAGTAGGGGCATATGTACTAAACAGTGGTTGTAAAAAAAAAACAAACAAAAAAAAAACACACTACTAAAGTGACGCTAATAATAGCAGATTTTCAGGGTTTTAAACCCGGCTAACCAGAAAATCCACCTACTGACGGGCACTACCACACTCATGGTTGCCCGGAAGTACAATCTAAAACTTTCCCACTCTGTCCCACAAAAGCCTGCTAATGGCCTGCCTAGGGCCAACAAGGGCTTGACCCCGAGACATCGCCCACATCGAAGGAGGGTCTACCGCCGCGGGGGGGGCGGAGAAACACCGGAACCCCACGCTACTCCTGGTTTGGGAGGGACTTAGCCCTTCAGATGTACTGGGTCCGTGGCTCAAGGATGTCGGCCTTCAATACTGGCCTGGGGCTGGAGGGTGGACTCACCTCGCTCCCAACATGCCGCCACCTCTGAACACTGATCCACTGCAAATGAAAGCTTTACCATGCCTGAGAATTGGCTAAACCAGGACTTGCTGGGGTCGCCTGCGGCATGCCATCTCAGGGGCCTACCATTACTAGATCCAATCATGTCTGTGCCAGGATCATTTAGCCCACCCCAAATGTATTACTATGTTGTGTAGTGCAGTGATTTACATGTGTTATCCTTTCCAGAGGTATACTTTTACTAGCTAGCTTTGTTCAAGCTATAACTTAACCTTGCATGCATCCAGTCTGACTTGCTGCGCTACTCTTGTACAGCACTCCCCATGTCGTCAGTAAGACATGTCAGCATACCTAAATAGATTATTAAGATTGAAAGCGTGCAATTGTCCAATATGTCTCCTCAGCAACATTCAACATTTCTCTTTAAGTTACTAACTAGCATGTTTTCTTTGATGTTATTAATATAAAATAAGGCTGGACACAGCCCCCAAAGTGCCCCCCTCTCCCGAGCCCAACTCGTGCACCAAGGGTGGGGGCCACTATACTAAACAGGGGACCTAGTGTCCTCCTTCAGCCCCCACCCATGCATGGCGGATGGGGACCCTATTGCCCACTCCCTGGCTCCCACCCATGCACGGCGGGTGGGGACCATAAAATACAATCGGGTCCCCCCCACCCATAGGTGATTGGTAAGGGCTAAATGTAAAAATCACCCCTCGCCCGAAGGTGACTAGGGGTTCCCTAGTCATCCCCTCACCATAATAGTGAGGGGGGTAACCAATATGTTATGGTCCTGACTGCTTCATATATGAGACCAGTAGTTTCATACAACCTTGCTTTATTGCTGAACATTTGGTGTATAATCAGTCTTATTATAACTGAAAGAAACACAGGAGTAACACATCCTCTGTGCAGCACGGCATCACACTCACTGACTTAAGATGGCTGGCATGCTCTCTGACCTGTGAGTCATCACAGGAGTGGAGCCACCAGTTAACGTGAGAGGGAAGTGAGAGAGCAGTGTCCTACATTCCAGGTATAACAATAAAAAAACACAAAAAAATCTGAAATAAAAAAAATAAAAAATACTTACCCATTAATTTCTTATTTTTTCATAAACCAAAAGAGGCCAAGTAAAAATCCATAATTCCCCGAATATATAAAAAAAAAATCTGAGCGCAAAATATTATAATATATATACACACACATACACACACACACAGAAATTTTTATTTATTTTTTTTAAATCCTGACGCTTACAAATTAATCCATCTTCATCCAGCGAGGGCACCACGCAGACTGAGAAAAGGCATCTAAAACCTTCTCATGCCCTGCAATTTGACTGAGCACTCCAATTGCTTTAAGCCAAGCAATAAGGGTGCAGGTAATTGAGTGAAGATGGATTTGTAAGTCTGGATTTTTTTTCTCTTCCTTTTCTAATGGTAAATATGATTATTTCCCCCTCCTCCCCAGGTATTTAGTTTTATTGGTACCCCCTCAATATTTTTAGGGTGAGGGGTAGGTAGGCTTTTGTTAGAAGGGGGGACTTGAGTACTCCTAGTCACCTTGGAGGTGGGGGGGGGGAATTTTTTCATTTACCCCTCACCTGTCACCCATGGGTAGGGGGACAATAGGTCCCCCCCCATTGTCACTCGGGCTCTCACTCCCCACCCATAGGTGGGGGTCAGGGAGTGGACAATACATCCCCCATTGTATTTTAGGGTCCCCATCCGCCACGCATGAGTTGGGGCCGATGGGGGTGGACAATAGGCCCCCCTATTGTATTTTAGGGTCCCTAACTGCCGCGCATGGGTGGGGGCTGGAAGAGTGGACAATAGGCCCCGTCCCCATTTTATTTTAGGGTCCCCAACCGCCGCACATGGGTAGGGGCCAAGGGAGGACACTAGGTCCCCCGTTTAGTTTAGTGGGGGCTCAGGGGGGACACTTTGTCCCCCCCCGTTAATTATTTTGATAGGTGTCCCACTAAGTTGCACTTTAATAAAGTATTGGGGGTGTTTTTACAACCATGAGCAGCCACTTGCTGCTCACTGTTTAGTAGATATGCCCCTACTCACGGTATAGCGAGTAGGGGCAGATTAATTACCAATACTAAGTAATCTTTACTTAGTATTGGTAAGTTTGGCTGAAAGACCAATTTAGGTCTTTCAGCCTTTTAGTAGATAGCTTAAATTGGGGAGCTATCTACTCGCGGCACGAATAGGATTGGAGTTTCATTCATTTTAAAAGAAATTCCGATCCGAACACGATTGAACAAACTGTTCTCATTCTGTAAGGACAAAATTCGGTAGTTCTGCCAGTGTTCAAACGCCGAATGAAGCCGCGAATTGTGGGAAAATTACTTTGACCCACAGGTCCTATGTTTTTTTTCCTATGTTTTAAAGAAAACTAGAGCAGATGGGAAGAAATGAACAGATCCTGAGAGAGGGACAGAACAGGAAGCGACTGGGTAAGTTCGGCATGACAGTGCCGCTTTAAATCCCATCCAAACGTTAACGCATGTTATGCAAAAATATTTCAGTTATTCAAATATGAATGATTAACCTATAAAACTAAAGATAGCGCACCTTGCAATGATTTCATCATTGTCTATATATTTCTTATAGTATATAAAAAAAAATAAAATAAATAAAAAAAATTGATACTTATAGTTAGACTAATCTGAAAAAAGTTATTCTAAATATGAAATCTTCATCTGGTTGCAAAAAAAATAATAATAAATAAATTAAAAAAAAAGGAACAACCGGCAATAATGAGTCTTTGTTTAAAAATCATAATTTAAATCAAATCAACCTTGTCAGACCCTAAAACATAGTTGATATGGCACCGGCTACAATAATCCATACTTCAGTATAAACTGTAAGCTCATTTGAGCATTGTCCTCTTCAACCCAACGTTCCTATAAGTTTCTTGTAATTGTCCTATTCTAGTTAAAACCCCCCTCTTATAATATTATAGAGTGCTGTGGAATCTGTTGGCGCTATTTAAATAATAATATTTATAATAATAAAGGCTGTTGGACTACAGAAAAAATTTATATAAAATAAAAAGTAGAACTAACATTTCTAAATTAGTTAATGTGACAGCTCAATTAGCATAAAACATTCCCTCTTTGTATCAGAAGTATTTATGATGTATCTAAGGCACATGTTTCCACGAGGTAATACAGTATGGAGAATCTAAATGGTCCTTTGGAGGAAGACAAAGGGTATAAAATATGTAAAACTAGGAAACAGATTTCACAATCTGCAATCTATACCAGAAACAAAATGACAATTAATTTTGGTTTAGAAGATACATTGTTTTAAATGCTAGGTACTGACTTTTATTCTGATAAAGGTGTAAGTATGGAGCATTGTGGTATTGATGTAAGCAACGGGACAGAAAAATTGGATAAGATTTACATAATTTTTTCAAAAATAATATATCTGTGTTCCATAACCAATATTTACAAAACCAACTAATGCAATAAAGATGAGAGATACACAGTTTTAAAAAAGTGTCCATCATTTATGCAAATAAAGGTTCCAAAGTAAGGTTTTGATAGGTCAGGAAGAGGCAGAGACTTATCTGAATTTTCAGTAATTTCGTGTATACCTCATTAACCAGTACAGAACCAGAATTTATGGAATATTTAATTTAGCTTTCTACAGACAACTGCAGTGTGAGGGACGCATGGAGGGAAGAAGCCATTGCACAAGTTGAAGGAAAACTTTAATGTTAGGAATATATCTTTCCCCCTTGTTTGCAAGCAAAGGGTTAGAGACCCCTTTAACCCCTTAAGGACGGAGACAAATGTACACGTTGTGAACAAAACAAAATGTAAACAAAACCTGGTATTTGCGCTACATGTCTGTCCAACCGTAATACACCTCTTTCATAGTAAATACACCCACCCTTATTATATATCATTTTATTCAGGGGAAACAGGGCTTTCATTTAATATCAAATATTTAGCTATGAAACATAATTTAATATGAAAAGAAATGGGAGAAAAGATTTTTAAAAATTTTTTTTTAGTTCTACGTGACATTTTAACTGTCAATGCCATAATACTGTTTGCTTTTACTGCAATAAAATACACATTTGTATTCAGCAAAGTCTCACGTGTAACACAGTACCCCCTATGTACAGATTTTATGGTGTTTTGGGAAGTTACAGGGTCAAATATAACACGTTACACCAGATTGGTTACGTTGCCTTTGAGACTGTATAGTAGCCCAGGAATGAAATTTACACCCATAATGACATACCATTTGCAATAGTAGACAACCCAAGGTATTGCAAATGGGGTATGTCCAGTCTTTTTTAGTAGCCATTTGGTCACAAACACTGGCCAAAGTTAGCGTTAGTATTTGTTTGTGTGTGAAAAATGCAAAAAACGCCAATTTTGGCCAGTGTTTGTGACTAAGTGGCTACTAAAAAAGACTGGACATACCCCGTTTGCAATACCTTGGGTTGTCTTCTTTTGCAAATGGTATGCCATCATAGGGGTAATTTCCATTCTTGGGCTACCATAGGGTCTCAAAGGCAACCTAACCAATCTGGCAAATTTTAATGTGAAAAAAATGAAAACAAGCCTTATATTTGATGCTGTAACTTTTGAAAACACCATAAAACCTGTACATGAGGGGTACTGTTGTACTCGGGAGACTTCGCTGAACACAAATATTTGTGTTTCAAAACAGTAAAAAGTATTGCAACAATAATATCGTCCGTTAAAGTGTTGATTGTGCGTGAAAAGTACAAAAAAACGTCACTTTTACTGGCGAAATCATCGTTGTAATACATTTTACGGTTTTGAAACACTAATATTTGAACAGTACCCCCCATGTACAGGTTTTATGGTGTCTTGGAAAGTTACAGGGTTAAATATAGTGCTAGCAAATTAATTTCCCTTTACTTTCGGCATGGGTTGTCAGGCAGGTCCCGCTAATTGTAATTAAGATACCTAATTATGTAAAAATATTACATTATATATATTATTTTGTTCTACGTGTATTTTGATATAAATATATATTAATATCACAATACAGTTAGAACGAAACAACATCTATATATTTATTTATTTTTAATTATTTTTTTAATTTTATTTTTTAATGTATTTACATATTTTTTATATTATACATAAATATATATATATATATATATATATATATATATATATATATACACACACACACACACACACACACTAAGTATATAATTATTATTATTATTTTTTTTACACTTTAAATTTATTTTATTTCAAGTCAGCAGAGGGACCACCTGTCATTACAGGCAGCCCCCCCTGCTGGCAATACAGAAGCCAGCTATCCCGGCCATGTGATTGTGAGGTCCTCGCAAGGACCTCACTCTCACATGGCCGGGGGGGGCTTCAGGACGTCGGATGTGCCGGCGATCCCACGGGGTAAGTACAAAAAAACCGGAGGGCGTACTATAACGCCCGGCGGCGTTTAGAGACGCTTAAAATAGGACGTAATAGTACGCCCTCCGGCGTCAAGGGGTTAAATACCTGATTCCAGCACCAAAGTCCCTCAGTGCTGGCTCGGGCTCCTCCTCCGCCAATGGGGTCACCTAATGCTCATGCACCGCAATCGCCCGCATTAGGCCTTCACCATAGGAAAGCATTAATTCAATACTTTCCTATTGGGTTTTAGAAGACGCTGGACATCCTCATGCAAAGTCAAACTCTCTGAAAGGCCAAGAAAGGCTGTCTGAATCCTGCAATGTATACTTTGCAGTTTCTCTGCAGCTGGAGGGCGAAGGAGACAGTGACACTGCACACAGACCACTTCAATGAGATGTAGTGGTTTGAATGCTCTTTAATAAAACATGGTCGGAAATTCAATTACCGTATTTACTCAAATCCAATGCGCACCTTTTTTGGAAAAGAAAGTTTCCAAAATTTGAATGTGCATTAGATTCATTACATTACATTAGAGGCAAAATTTTAGTTTTCTGGCAAATTTCATTCCTGAAAGAGAGCTTAAGAAAGAATAGGTTTAACATGTAACACTAAAATGAAAACACCATCAGTGTTACTATGGTATATGGCAAACATTTTCATTGTAGCACAATGTTGTATAGTAGTATCTTCTTGTATAATGCACATTACATTCGCCAGCAAAAACATTTTTCAACTTACAGGTTTCAAAAATTGAGGTGCGCATTAGATTCCAGTAAGTAAAGTTGCTATATAGATCACTTGCGAAAAATGCCATCTTCACGCTTTAACTATGTTGCTACTTCCATCGTGGAAGTGAAATCAGTGCAGCCAAGGTGCAAACAGTTGTCAAGCTTACTGCGTGATTTAATGGACTTCAGGGTTTTAACTGGATAAGATGGAGTGGTAACAATAGTAAATCGTGAATATTTGTGACAAATGGTATTCTTAAGTTCCCATTCAGTGTTGTAAACCAAATGACCAGGTCTGTGTAAATATTTAAAGAACTATAGTACTAGTGATACAAACATGTATTCCTAACACAAGAGCGCTGGACTACCTATTCAGGAGTCCAGACCCTCTTTCACTTAGCCTTTCTCCATCACTGCGCTGGTCTCACAGCAGCTGGCATAGCCTACATGGCTGATATCAATCAATCAATCTCCATTGGAAAGTTTTAAGAGGAGGCTATTGAATATTCGCAGCAAAATTTGAGCTGCGCCAATCAGCATCTCCTCCTAGAGGTGCACTGAATCAATGCATCTCTATTGGGAGCATTTATAGTCTCCATGCAGAGTGTGGAAATGATGGACGCAAGTCCTGCAAAGTAAGGGGTGGGAGACATTATAGGTCACGATATTGCTAGGAAAATTAAATATCTGTGCAATATATAATTTGATACTTTAGAAAGTACCAGTTTTTAAATAAAAATATATTTAAAAAAAAATCCAGTTTATTTTCAATTTGAATTTTTTGAGTCTTGTGTTCCTTTGATAAATATGACCCTTTTTACAGTCTGTAATATATCACAAACATTGTAAGCTACAATGGACACCAAAAACCGTAATTGTGGTTTAAAATCAGAAAAAGATGGTAAAAATAAGTTCTGAAATTAACGGCTTGATGAAAGTAATCATTGTGAGTGGATGATTCTTGGTGAATAGCCAACGTATTTTTTTTCCGCCATAGCTTTATGAAATACGCATAGTACAAGCATACCAACAGGTTTGAACAGCCACACCCAATCGTCAATACGCGATTTAACAAAAAAAAAAAATAATGAAAAGTTATAGTGACAATGAAAGGGCGTAGCTGTAGGAATGTAATCTCACTTGTAATGCAAGAGACAATGTGTTTCACTGTACTAATGTTAATGTGAGCAGAATATACAATACAGAACCATCTTATTGAAACATTCATGTTTATCAGCGTGAGTTTATATACTGTATTACAGGGTGCATACAGTTGTGGATGCTAATGTTAATATAATGCTTGAGTCCAAATTGATTCCAGAAAAGGTAAGCATATTTTTTAACTTAGAGCACTCCAATTATCATAACCATTAAAGCACACTGCAGTGGTTATGGTGCCAATCCTAACTAATGTGCCCCCACTATAAGTGGTCACACCATTCTAGAACGCAGCTCATTGTCTGGGAACTTCCGGCTCGCTTGTGTAAAGCAGTAGAGGCAGGGTGTGGGGCATAGCGAATGTCCGGTAAGGAGTCGAGACTCTCCAGGCACCATAACCACTACAGCTCACTTGCATGCACAGCAAATCACCGCTCTCTTCCAGCACAGGTCGTTTTCTCATACAGAAGCGTAGAATCCAATGCTTCTCGATGAGAATCATTAGCCAGGATCGGCTAATTAGCAATAATTTTAGCATAAGCAAGTGTGCACTAATAAATGATAATGGTATAGTATGGCTTTACTTCGAAAGCAAATAGATAAAAATAAAATAAAATTATTTCTCCGCAAACCAAAAAAGGACTAAAATACACAAAACCATGTACGGTCAGAAAGTATATAATATGGTAAACATCAGAAAGAAAGAAAAATTGTATTAATCTACCCCCACCCACCACCCCTTAGAAACTTCAATATATAAATTATTATTATTATTTTTTACAATAATAGGTATATTGTCAATGTCATAGGTGTCATGAGAAGAGCTCTGATCCCAGGAAGTATCACCCAGTGTCTCTGAGCCCCCCTCCTCCCACATAGGTATTTCCAATCAGCAATGTCAATAAATAAATAAAGCCATAATACATTGGGGCCCTGTCATTATCACGTGACACCAGCAGGGGCCGCGCTAACCGCTCACCTCGCGCCCCGGAGCTGGAACCCAACATGCCCTCGCTCTGCTCTGCTCAGCAAACTAAACCGTCTCAAGGACACTGGGCGCTTAGATCACGTTGACCGGCGCGCGGGGTCTAACTGTCAGAAAAGGGGCGGAGATTAGAGGGTTGGAGAGGAGAGGGGGAAGGCCTTCCCATACAGATAACCTCGCAGTGACGTCACGGGGGTGGGTGGGGGAGATCCGGGCAGCGAAGCACGAGGCGCCATTGTGTTTGATGGCAAACCCGTATTTAGGGTCATTTCACTAGTGCGTCATGATGTGACGAAAGAAAGTGACGTGAAATAGCAGGCGGGATTGAACCCAGGCTCAGGGGGGCTTGGGCAGGAGTGATGGGTTTAGAAAAAAAGAAAAAAAAACATGAATAAAAAAAAAAAATTATATAATAAAAAAAAATGAATGTCAAAAAATTAAAGGTAGAAACAAGTACTGAGTTTGTGACACCCTGGTGATTATTTGTACAAACCCTCGCACACTCATTTATGCACTCAAACACATTAACAGGGTTATTAACTAAAGTGAGAATTGTCAGAAATTGAAAGCAAATTTTCAATTTAAAGGACCACTCCTGGCACTATGGAGTCCCCTCCACCCTCATGGCCCCCCCTCCCGCTGGGCTCAAGGTGTTAAAACCCCATCAGCCACTTATCTTTATCCAGCGCCGGGCTCTCTCGGCGCTGGTGACTTCTCCTTCCCCTCTGACGTTGGCTCCCGAGTGGAACTGAATGCACATGTGTGGCCGCGCGCGCATTAAAAACGCCCAAAGAAAAGCATTACTCAATGCTTTCCTATGGACGTCCAGCGTCTTCTCACTGTGATTTTCACAGTGAGAATCGCGGAAGCGCCTCTAGCGGCTGTCAGTGAGACAGCCACTAGAGCAGGGGTCCTCAAACTCCGGCCCCCCAGATGTTGCTGAACTACAACTCCCATGATTCTCTGACTATCTATGTAATTCAAAGAATCATGGGAGTTGTAGTTCAGCAACATCTGGGGGTGCCGGAGTTTGAGGACCCCTGCACTAGAGGCTGGTTTAACCCTCAGTGTAAACATAGCAGTTTCTCTGAAACTGCTATGTTCTCAGCTGCAGGGTTAAAACTAGAGGGACCTGGCACCCAGACCACTTCATTGAGCTGAAGTGGTCTGGGTGCCTTTAGTGGTCTTTTAAGAGCAAAATTTATGAACTGGAAACATTCTAAAATTTATTTATGATTCCAGTTTAGTTCCAAGGCCAGGTCATTAAATTTGTAATGCACAATAAATTCCCAACAATTTCACTTTAGTGATCACCCTGCAAAAATCCCACCATTTTTATTGGACAAAGAGAGACATATTAATTTTGGGGGCATGGCCAGGCGGAGCTTTTTTGAGAAATTTTAGGCAGGTTACTAATAATTTATGCAGCTACACTGTATTTTATAACAAGAACAATGTGTCATATTTACACAGACTGATTTCTAGACTCATTTATTGCAGTTTAAAGACATGTTACTGTGAGTATTGTTGCTGTCCAGCTCTGTTATACACTCAAACAGACACAATATGGAGTTCCTTAGAAAAGAGGGGCTGAGGGATATCTGCCCAATATAGGGATTTTATTAAAGGACACGGAGGCTCATATTAGGCTTCTCTCTTTCTTTTATTTCCTCAGCAGCAAAGAAAAAGCTAAGGTGTTTATTTGTATAGAAAAAAGAAACATGCATAACTATCCTCACAGGGTTAACATTACATCACCAACTTTCCACCAATAGGAACAGTCCTTCTCTCACAGCCTCTCCTGTATCCTCCTCCTCTTCCTCTTTCTTTGCTGCTGCCTCAGCTAAGTATCACTGTTTTTTCCCTGACTCCATTTTGTGTGTGTTTGGTGTATGTTTTTATGTCTTCACTGGTTATTCTTGCTGGTATTTGTCTCCACTGCATTTACTGCTAGTTAGCCTTGAGGGATTTTCCCTCTGTGTGTCTCTGTTTTGCCCGCGTTCCCTGCAGGTGCCCCGCCCCCTCCCCCTCCCCGGCGGGGTTCCGGTTTCCGTGCAGACCGCCGGGTAGTCTATTACCCTCTCCTCGCACAGTGTGGGGAACCCCCTGGTAAGAGCCCGGTTTTCTTCTCAGGGGCTTCCCCCAGCCACACTACCGATGGGTGAACGGACGCGCGCGCGTGCGTGGTCGCGGCCTCCAACGGTCGTCTTAAAGGGGCGGTACCAAAATTTTGCCGCTCTTTTTTCCTGCTCAGCTCACAGCCCACTGGCAGGGCGTGAGCTGATTGGGCCAAGTAGCTTGCCTGTCAGCCTGCCAGTGTCCCCAGAGGCCATTCCTGGGGGAACACTCAGTAAGCTGACAGTACAAGCTGCTGGTTTGTTACTGTGCTTTTTTTGTCTGTTGCCTTGTCTTAGCCTCTTGCCCAGCCTGCACACTCTAGTATCACAGTACATTTAGTTACCCTAGTGCTAGTTTTGGCCCAAGATGCAGACCCCTACCGAATACTCTGTCCCTGGCCCAAGTGGTAAGGGGGACGCCAGCAGGTCCTTGGTGTCTGCACCCCCCACCCTGCAAGGGGACGTGGTGGCCCCCCTGGAGCATTTGGACTCAGAGGAGTTCTACTCGCTCCTGGACGCCACCATGTCTAATCAGTTACCCAGGCTATCTATACCGCAATGGGGGTTATGTCTGACAACTTATCCCACTCTATTTCCACTGCTATTAAGGCAGCCAACCCTAAGGGAGCCCTGGGCAGGGTCACAGACGAGGGCCCTGTACAGAAAGAGGGCCATAAGGCTGTGAGAAAAACTCACTACATGGGAAAGCACACCTCCAAAACTGAACTGATGGACAGGGTACGTCCTGTCACACCTGAGGTCGTGGGGCACCCACGAAAACGAGCCACCCGCCGGGCAAAAGCAGCGAGCACATGGAAGTGGGCAAAAGCCCAAACTGACGCTTCCGACTCTGGTTCGGATACGGAGGAGGTTTTGAGCGAGTCCGATGAAGTTGACTCCAATGATTGGGAGGTGTCCTCCCCTGACCGTAGCCCATCACGCAACCCGCCTAACCCTTTGCATGATACTGCGGATGATTCCGCCATACTGGACCCGCAGGGTGAACCTCTGTTCGACCCTGATACTTTGCAGAACCCTAGGTCGGCTGAGTGGTACCCGACCGACCATGTGGCACGGTACATAGCGGCCAGAATCCGTAAACCCTTAGATAAAACCGCCAGACAAAAACTGCGGGCGGAGAGCCTGCGCCCGACAGTGCCCGACATGGCCTGCGTCACGCCAGACATAGACCCCAAAATAGCGCAGTTCCTGGGAAAATCGGGCTGGAAAGCCAAAAAGGGTCTTGATTACTCCCTGCGACAGTGCCAGGATAAGGTGCTGGATACACTAGGACCTAGTGCCAAGATATTTGAACTGGTCGAGGAGGCATTAAATGAAGGGACGCCCCTTGACATTCTAGCCATTAGGGGCTGGGCCCAGAGATCCATATGCCTCATCGGTAACGCAAATGCTGCGCTAGCCACTGAGAGGCGCAAGACTATTCTGATGAAAATCGAACCCAAACTGGTTAACATGGCCCTCTCCGAACCGGGACCGCAAGCCAGGGGCCTCCTGTTCGGAGACAGTTTCGTTAAGGAATTAGGCACGTACGTGAGTACCTTTACGGCCCTTGACAAGGCACAGACGAACTTAAAACGAGTGTTCTCCCCCAGAGTTTTTGGCGGGGCCGGCAGACACCAGGGCCGTCTGCCCAGCCTCTCCTCCAGCGGTTCCTACCAGGGATACAGAGATCCCGCCACGGCTCGAACACAGCCACCGGAGACTAGAGAACCCTCTCCCTTCTTTCCAGTCAGAGCTAGGCCATGGCAGCCGCCAGGACCCAGGGGCAATTCTTACGGCCGACATCCTTATGGTGAGTGTGCTGACTTTCCCCTCCCCGGGTATACCAACTGTGGGGGGCAGACTGTCCCACTTTCTGGGGAACTGGCAACGTCTGACGACGGACGCATGGGTCCTCAATACTGTCACGGGGTATCACATAGTACAACCCCCTGTCCAGGCAGGCAGGCCACATCCAATAGCATTTTCAAAACGAGACAAAGGTTTAGTGGACAAGGAGATTGCCTTTTCGTCACCTTTTCCCGGGTTCACGAGCAACCTGTTTTTGGTACCCAAAAAAGGTGGCGGAGTCCGCCCAGTCATCAACCTACGCCCACTAAACGCATTTGTACGGTACCACCATTTCAAGATGGAGGGTATCCATTGCCTTCGGGACCTACTCAGACTAGGGGATTGGATGGTCAAACTGGACCTACAGGATGCCTACCTCACTATCCCGATGGCGGAGGAGTGCCATCGGCTGCTCCAATTCCAATGGGAAAGAGTGACGTGGAGATTCCGATGTCTCCCCTTTGGTCTTTCATCGGCCCCTTGGTGCTTCACAAAATTACTGAAGCCGGTGGTCGCCTTGCTCCGAAGCAGAGGTGTCCGGATGATCATCTATCTGGGCGATATGCTGATCATGGCACAAGAGATCTCCCAACTGCGGGAACACCTGACATGGGCACTGACGTTGCTCCAAAACTTGGGATTTCTCATCAATTGGGAGAAATCGGTACTGACACCGTCCCAAACCATAGAATTCTTGGGTTTCTGTATCAACACAGTCACCGGGACACTCAGCTTACCAACGGACAAGGTCAAAGGTATAAAAAAGGAGATCCGCAAGACGCTCACAAGACCGGTGTTGACACTACGTCAGTTGGCCAGGATTATCGGACTCCTATCGGCCTCCATTCAGGCAATTTTCCCGGGTCCACTCCATTACAGGGCCCTACAATGACTGAAGGCCACACAGATGCGCTCAGGGCACTCGTACTCAGACTCGGTGCCACTCGATTGCGCAGCCAAGCAAGAACTCACATGGTGGCTGCTTCATATGGAGGCGTGGAAAGGCAGAGCAATCTTTGGGACGGCCCCGGATTTCATCCTCGAATCCGATGCGAGCACTCACGCTTGGGGAGCGCGTTGCGGGCCTATCTCCACCGGAGGAAAATGGTCGTGTGCAGAGAAAAGCCTACACATCAACGGCTTGGAGCTGATAGCGGGGTCGTTCGCCCTGAAGAGCCTTCTCGGGGGCGCAACAAATTGCTTCATAATCCTGCGCATG